GTTGCACCCCTAATAAACACAGCCAGAGCTTAGCTGAAGGAGTTTACATTTAAGCAGATGCCCCTTTAATGAACCGAAGCCCGTCACGAAGCCTGTGACCTCTGAGTGCTTGGGAGGAGCACAAACACTCACCTTTATCGTGCTTATTCTGACTGCTTACACCGAACAGTCCCAGATGCTTTTAAGGCCCGAGCAGGTCGTTTGTGGCACTATACAAATCTTGTCTGTGTATGTTTTGTGTGTGTCTGTGTCTGTAACTGAGAAGCCATACTGAAACTATATAATCCCGTATTACTGCGAGTAGAGTTTGTGTTACCTGGTCTTTGCTGTAGTCAGCCTGCTGAGCGTGTTGATGAGGCAAACGGCAACCTTTAGGCGAAACAAAGCTTTATTTTTCTATTCTCGACTCAGGTTTTGGAGTCTCCTTTTTGCTATCCTTTTCTCTTCCTCTTACTGTGTCAACCTTTAGACTCTAGAGTTTTGAGCTAGTCCTGCAGCCCAGTCTTAGGAGGCAAAGGAAAACACTTTGCTTTTTTGAGTTTTGTAATTCAATATTTTTCTGACTATACGCTTTGTTTTTGATACGCTGGAGTGAAACAGTGAAAACTATGATTTTCTTCTTCAAGTACTCTTATATAACTTCCACTGATGCTGGACTGTGTGTGTAGTCCATGTTGTTCATGTTTGAAATGAAATAAAAGGACTGCTAGTTAAAGTCTCCTCGTGTCACTTTTGCTGTGGGCATTTACACAGAATCCTTTTAAATCTGTTTACGGGGAGCAGCCAATCAGAGGAAAGTAGTCTTAAAGGAGGCCTTAAAAGGAGACGAGATAGGCAGCTGTTTCGTGCACCGAGGCCCGCTGGACCTTTTAAAAATGTATTATTGTGAAGTGCAGATAATAAATATAGTGTTTTTCTTGCCCCAGCTAATGATCTGCATGTTCTCACTACATCATGACCCTCTTCTGTGTCCCTCTGCACATGTCCGAACCCTCTCAGCTTCTCTAACCTTGTCTCCAAACCCCACACGCTCCTCTCCAGCCGCTCCACCCTGCATCACTCTCGCCTTCACCTCTCTCGTGCAGTGTCGGATAGCCAAGGTTATTATCGTTAACGAAAACTAACGAAATAA